CACTTCTGGGGGCAGGGATGAAAAGGTTTCAGTTGGAGTCTCTCATCCACAAGGAGTGTTGGCAGGGCAGCAGGATGCTCTTTTCTCATTTCTTTACTCTTACCTACCCCACCCCAAAGCTGCACCTGAGCCACCACTGCCTTCTCCACTTTCCAGGCCGAGATGAGACCCGTGGCCTGGGGTTTGGTTAGTACAGTCTGAGGATGGCAAACTGGTGACTGGTTAGCCGGTCACCCTCCTGACCAGGGTCACACCTACAAGCAGTCGCAGCGCAGTATGGGTGCTGTGGCATAGCACATGCTATGGCTGTGGGATGGTATTTCTCTATGGAGAGGGAAAGGTCCATTTCAGAGACTGCTGTTCTCCCCAGATTAACACACTGAAAAGGACTGATAAAAATACTCTACAGTGATACTCCTGCAAAGCAGCCATGGTTTCATGTACCCTCTGGGGACCATCTCCAAAAAGCTGAATATGCCGCACAGAAATGTCACCTGCATGGTGCTGGCCAGAAGGCAAACCACAGCTTGCCTAAAAGGCTGGTCTAAACCGAGACACCTGGCAAGGTGGTCCATGCAGTAGCACATCACTGGGGCCAGTTCTGCCTCCTGTTACTCACAAACTCCAAAAGTGTAATCTGCAGACCACCGTCTCTTCCAGGGTGCAGTACCAGTCTTACCCACCAGTAGGATTTGCGTGGGTGCAGGACTGGTCCCTGGGGGATCCCCTGGGGCAGGAGACATGAAGGGATTAATTCCCTGCACACTGCAGCTCTCTGTCCCAGATGGAATCAACACCTTCTCCAAAGTGAGCTGTCCCAGGCATGAAGAGGGCTCTGCCATGCTGCAGCTCCTGGCAGACCACATCAGCAGCTTCAGGACCAAAGTCTGAGTCACAGTTTTCTACTGGTTCCTGTCATGAATCCTCATGCACCCTAAGGAGGGGATGTCCCATCCGACCAACTGGACAAATCCTGTAGCAACCAAAGACTCCTATGAGTATGCAGAGCCTTCTGGCAGTTATGTGCTCACATCCCACCTGATCTCCAAAGTGGCTGCAGATAAATAGCCCTAAAAGCACTACAAGCACCCCAGCAGCTATCAGTGAGTGCTGATGGCACAAACACACCAGAGACCCCCAACCACTTCTCAGACATGGTCACAGCGGTTGCGGGCTTGCTTCTTTCCCAATCCCCAGCTGAAGGCATTGCTCAGAAAGAGTGCTGCTGCCCCAGAGCCCCTGGGCTGCCTAGCACTGGCCTCAGGCACTGCAGCGCCCAGACCACTTGAGCCCATAGAGATGGGCCCAGGCACTGTTGGCTACTGCAGCCTGATCTGCCCACGGAGCTCAGGGCCAGGCTGAGAAACCCCTTGGAGCTGCCAGAAATGCATCCCATTCCTGGGGGGCCTTGGGCCACTGGGGCACTGCTGTTAGATGGGACATGTCCCAGGGCAAAATTATGGTGAGTCTGCACTTGCCCTCAGCGCCTGCCCAAGAAGGGGGTCCACATCCAGGGGCAGACTACACTGCCGGGCGTGCATGTCTCCGGCCAACGCCAGGCAGAAGGCAGGAGGGTGGGCAGAAGAGCACCCTGGGCTGACACAAGCTCCAAGTGCAAGGGCAGGCATGAGGACAGGAAGAAAGTGCTGGCAAATCCCTTGGGGCACAGGCCGTCTGGGGGCTGTGTGAGAGACTGAAAGAGTTAATGTATGACTCAAATATTGTAGTAAGAAAAGTTCTGCACAGCAAGTTCTGCATAACAAAGGAACAGTAAGCGGAGCAGTTAGCAGGATGTAGAAGGCAGTTAGCTGGACACAGAAGGTGGGATGCAGAAGGCAATTAGGGGGATGCAGAAGGCTGTTGGAAGATGTACTGTTCTCTGTCTTACCTTCGGAGCAAAACAACACCAGATATGGCCAAAGGTCACACAGAATTCATTGGAGGAAGGGGCTCAATGACCACCAAGACCCCCTGAAAACATTTTCCATCACCACCCCTTGCAGTGGTGCCTGTGCAGTTGGGCAAGAGTTACATAATCCCTCACTCGAAAGGCAACGGCTGAACTGTATAAAAGACACAAACTCAGGAAGCCACGTGCACACCCACCACCGGAGGACTGCCCCATCTGTCTCAGGACCATCACAGGATCCGAGCATGGCGATCTCTCTCCTTATCCTTTTCATTTCCTGTCCCTCTTTTCTCTTCCCCCCCTTTATGGCTATAATGTTACCTATATGCTTAGCACTAGATGCCCAGCCTGGGGCCTGGCCCTGGATTGTGAGCATCCAGGATCCTGGAAAAATAGGCACAGGGCACATATGTGGAGGGTGGCTCATCAGCCCAGAGTGGGTCCTCACCGCAGCCCACTGCTTCATCAAGGTCAGGTAAGGAGGACCAGGGGATGGAGCTGTCCCCACAACACGGGCAGGTGTTGTGCTACTCCATGTGCTACTCCCATCCTGTTTCCTCGCAGTACACCCCGTGCCAGGGTGCTCCTGAGCCCAGCTGAGGGACTGCTCAGGAGAAGTCTGGGCTCATGCCACTGCTTCCTAGCAGCCTCCAGCTTGATATTCCTTCAGCCCAAGGCACCCTGGGGCAGTCACACCCTCTGCAGTGCTGCTTTCGTCTCTCTCTTGTGAAGCAGAAGGCAGGGAGCTGCTGGGCTGCCACAGCACATGGCTCTGCTCCCTCTGAGCCCTCTCTCTGTCCCCTTCCAGGCACATCATGATGGCGTGGTGATTGGGCCACCCAAGTGCGCAATATTAAGCAGCTCCTGGTTCATGAACACTACAGTAACATCATGGAGATGAACGACATTGCCTTGCTGGAACTGGACCAGCCTGTCCAGTGCGGCTACAACGTACAGCTTGCTTGCGTGCCTGATGCCTCACTAAGAGTGTCAGAGCTGACGACCTGCTACATCAGTGGCTGGGGCTCTACCACTGCAAGATGTGAGTTCCCAAAAAGTATTTGTGTCCTGAGTGTGAGTTTGGCACATTGGGGAGATGGCTTGTGCTTCCCTACAGCAGAGGGGAAAGCCAGGGTCAGGCTGTGGGAACATGTGCCTCTAGAGAGAGGGGCCTGACACACTCCCCAAAGCCAGACAGAAGGGAAACATGGGTACAATGCCTTCGAGAGGCAAAGCCAAGCCCTAGGGAAGGGCTTGGCCCAGACAGAGGAGAACTGGCAGTGAGCTACTGGCTGTTAATTCCTTTCTGTGCTCACAGTTGGAGGTTGTGCTGCAGGAGGCCAAGGTCTGCCTCATTGATGTCAACCTCTGCAAAAGCAGCGGGTGGTACAGAGGGACCATCTGCAGCCACAACTTGTGTGCTGGCTATCTGCAGGGGAGCACTGACACCTGCCAGGTAGGACCGTGCGACCAGTCAAGCCCCAGCACTGTATCCGCTGCTTGAACTCCTCTGATTCTGAGCAGTGGTATCTCTTTTACATGCTTGGGACAACATTCCTTGAAGAATGTTGGTCCTTCCTCAGGCTTAAGCCCGTCTGATAACATTTGCAAAAGGTCCTAAGGTTATCAGCAATTTGTGAGGAATTTCATTCAAAGGTTGTTAGCATATGTAAATATCAAACAGGAAGATGATAAATGCTCATCCCATAGTTGTCAGCAATTTTATTCAAAGGTTGTTACAACAGCTGGGTGATATCTAAGCAACTAAGGAACTATAAATCTTTTAGCTCCTAATTTATCAGGGTTTACTCTTTCACCAGAGAGTCTCCTACAAGAAGGGGAGAGGCCCAGCTGCCCATCCCCAGAGTTCTCAGGGCATGAAAAAAATTACTTTCCTCTCTGAAGGCCAGCTCTAACCAGCCCCAGAAATCTAGAACAAAGGGAAGAACAGACTCAGAGTCCAGGGCTTAGGCAGATGGGGGCTTCTCTTCAGGGCACTACTCCGCTTTATCTGACAAATTCTCGCTCTTCTTCTCCAGCTCAAAGCTCTGGAAAGGAGCAGGATAAGGAACTGTTGAGCAACAGCTACATTCTGCTGTGGCTCTTTCAAATTCAGTCTAGGGTAGCATGGGCTCTTTAGAGGGTCACCACTTCACCCCTTCCAACCTAGACATGAGCAGCACACAAACCCCATGCTGTCACCAGCATAAGACAAATCTTTCCATGCCAGCAAAGTTTCACCCTTTGCCACAGGCTTTGCTTTCCCTGAAGGAGAAAAGAGCTCCTGAATTCTGTTTGTAAGTGACTGCCAGTTTGATAGCATCATTGAAGAGCTGGTGGGAAGGAGAATGATGCTTGTCATTCAAAGTAAGGGGCACTGGGTTTCTGTAACATATGGAAATTGTTCCCATCTCTCAAGAAAAAAAAATATTTTTTGCAACTACCTATAGCTACCAGGACTTCACAAGTAGCCAAAGACATGGACTAGCCCATTTTCTGCTCTCTGTGCCTACAGGAGTCTACATGTCCTTGGGCTGTATAGGGGTCTCAGGGATGCTGAGCCAAATAGCTAAGCTTTGCCTTCACTACATTGGTGCCATCTGCAGCAGACACAAGGTAAAAGCACAAACTGAGCTTCTGGGCAAAGCTGAAGCTTTTCTGGGTCACCTTTTTGCTGGAGGCAAAAAAATGAAAAGTGTACAGTAAGACATCACTGTAGGCAGAATGCAAACATATGCAAGAGTGGTGGAAAAGATGGAGACTAGAGCTTGCTTTAGCTGTCAAGACCTCCTAACTGTAGTACAAGGCTAGGAGAATCTTCCGCAAAAGCTATAGGGTTTTAAAAGCAACAGCATCAGCAAACCATTGACAAGATGAAATGAAAAGAGTTCTTGTTGGTTTATCCATGATGCTTGACTAAATTAGAGATGGTTTCTAATGTACTATAAATGACTAGTGCTTTGTAGCTTAGAACATATCAGTTCACTTGCTATATGGCAAGTATGAATGTTTTCAAGGTGTAGCCCAATGATTTTTGCTGTGCGCACATGACCTGGACACTATTGCAGTACTAGTCATGCCTCTCCCTCCAGTCTGGCTTTTTTAACCAGACCTCCCCACTGCCCTTATGCCATGTTACCTTTATTCCTGTGAGTCAAGGGCAGGCTCACAGTATACAAATGACTCAACTGTTCTATATTTTTACTTAACAGGCAGTTAGGTCCAGCTACCCCAACCTCCACAGGCCAGAGGCTTTGTTTCTGTTTGGGAACAAACCATTTGCAGGACATGCTGACACAGCAGCAACAGCTCAAAGTTTTGCTAGATAGGCAGCCTGTATGCCAGCATAGGAGGATGACTCCAGATGATCCGCCTTTTCTCATGGAAGCAACAGCTGCTGGAGTTCAGACTCCAAATGCTTGCCACTGCGCACTGCCCAGGCAGCTACTCCCTACCTCTTTGCAGAGCTGGATCAACTGTTCTGCATGGAGTAGGAAAAGGCAAAGGATGTTCCTGTAGCCCACGGAGGTTCAACAGCAGAGCAGATACCCATGTGTAGGCTATTGAGGACTCCATGCTGGAGCAGGAGAGCTGAGCCCAAGGGCAAGTGTGACTGAAATTGAGACCCTGAGAGTTACTCAATACCAGAGTGGGGGTGGGCCCCCAGAGCCGGGGGATGAAGAGGTACACTGGACCGGAGACCCACCTGCAGCATGTGGATGTCCCCATGCTGGAGCTGGGAGCTGAGCTTGAAGATGTCTGTGACTCCATGGGAAGCTTGCTTTGGAACACTTTGTTCCTGGACTTTCATCACAGGAAGAGAGGCAGAGGTGAACTGACTGAACCCCCATTCCCTGCCCCCTGTGCCACTGGGGGGAGAAGATAGAGAAATGGGGAGTAAAGTGATTTGAGCCCGGGAAGAAGGGAGGGGTGGGGGAAGCTGATGTAAGATGTTATATCTCACTGCACCACTCAGATGAATGACAATGAATTAAATTTAGCTATAAAAACATGATTAAGGGTCTTATTCAGCTGTACTGTTTGGTAATTATTGTGAGAATAATCTGGTTTTTATTTATAGTATTTCTACCATCTTCACATTTTGGGTGCTATCATTTAGATAGTATTGATAGTCTCACGGTTAACCTTGTCTCCCCTTGGCAACAACCCGCTGAGCAAACATCTCTGTGTTTCAGGTACCATCTGCTGGAGACTATTAAAAATTACACATTTTTTTCTCCACATGAAGCCAATGTATTAATCGGACATTTCCGTACATCGAGTGCCACACACCAGAGATTAGTAATAATTGCACTTACTACTTTCACTCTCTGAAGAGCCAGTTCACAAAGGGGTCAGCTTCTGACAATTTCTCCTTCTCTGCCAGGCCAAATATAAAAGAGTGAGAGAGTTTTAAATATTCTTGGGATAGTCAAGCCATCTTTTTTTTTTTTTTTTTTTTTTTTAAATGCTGGGTCTCCTGAATGCAGTTCAGGACTTCGAAAACTATTTAGGTGTACCACCCTGGGAATAACCTCTGCAATAGGTACTGTGGCTACTGAAACCCCTTGCAACCGACAATGTGGCTACTGAAATTCCTGCAACAGACACTGTGGCTACTGAAACTCCTGCAACAGACACTGTGGCTTACTCAGAACCACAACAAGAACTGTAGCTAGTCAGACCCTGAAAACAGGCATTCCAGCTACATGGATCCCAGTAACAAGAACTGTAGCTATTCAAACACAGAAAACAGACCCTCTGATTCACACTGTGGATCCTCAAAGTGAGCAAGTGGCAGTGTTTGCCTCCTAGCCAAATGCTAGCCAAGTGAAACCACCACAGTTTCCAAGCCTCCTCTAGCACTATTCCTCCAGCTGGCATCTGATATTCATAGGTGCAAGGTTCGTGGTTGGTGTATTGGGTAGAGTCCCTGCCGAGGGTTGCTGACAAGGGTCTTGAAGAAGTCACTGAGCACCAGTTCTGGTTCTATCAGGGTTCATATCTTGTTAACCTGGGAAAATACTTAGTATAAAATTGCTAGTATGATGTACAACAATGATAATAATGATGATATGCAATTCATTGGCTATTTTCACCTAAAATCAAGTCTCCGTGAGGTACACATTGAACTTCTCCAACTTTCTGCATTACCCACCAGGTACATCCAGGTCCTTGAGCAAAAGCAATCCCACAAATGGGTTTACCTTTACCCAAGACAGGAGTAACCCAGACTGTTTTCCCAAGCAAATTCTTAATGTGCACTACAGGGACTTTGTCCCCTTCTACAGTATGTAAAAGCTTTGATTGGGCAGGGCCAGCTCGGTTGGCAGATCCTCTGGTGTTGACTAACCAGGTGGCTTTTGCTAACTGTGTATCCCAGTGTTTGAAAGTTCCACCACCCATTGCTTTGAGTGTGGTTTTCAACAGCCCATTACATCGTTTGACTTTCCCGGAGGCTGGTGCATGATAGCAGATGTGATGTACCCACTCAATGCCATGTTCTTTGGCCCAATTGTCTATGAGATTGTTTTGGAAATGCGTCCTATTATCTGACTCAATTCTATCTGGGATGCCATGTCGCCACAAAACTTGCTTTCAAGACCAAGAATAGTGTTACAGGCAATGGTATGGGGCATGGCATATGTTTCTAACCACCCAGTGGCTGCTTCCACCATTGTGAGCACATAGTGCTTACCATTACAGGTTTGTAGGAGCGCGATATAGTCAATCTGCCAGGCCTCTCAATATTTATATTTTAACCATCATCCTCTATACCAGAGAGGTTTCAACCTCTTGGATTTTTGATGGCAGCACATGTTTCACATTTGTGAATAACCTGTGCAATAATGGCCATGGTTAAGTCCAACCCTTGATCATGAGCCCATCTATATGTTGCATCTCTTCCTTGATGGCCTGAGGCATCATGGGCCAGCTAGCTAAAAAATTTTCACCCTTCTGTTGCCAATCCAAGTCTACTTGAGACACTTTGATCTTAGCAGCCTGATCTATCTGTTGGTTGTTTTGATGTTCTTCAGTATCCTGACCCTTGGGCACATGGGCATCTACATGACGTACTTTTACAGCTAGCTTTTCTGGCTGGGCAGCAATATTTTGCCATAATGCAGCAGCCTAGATGGGTTTGCCTCTGCATTTCCAGTTGGTCTTTCCATTGTTGTAACCACCCCCTCAGGGCATTTGCCACCATCCATGAATCACTACAGAGATAGAGCACTGGCTGTTTCTCTAACACAGCAATGTCCAAGGATGGTTTTTACCTCGGCAAACTGGCTCGATTCACCTTCTCCTTCAACAGCCTCAGTGACTTGTTGGGTGGGACTCCACACAGCAGCTTTCCACTTTCGATGTCTTCCCTCAATATGACAGGACACATCAGTAAACAGAGCATACTGTTTTTCATTACCTGGTAGTTCATTGTACAGTGGAGCCTCATGA